ATACTCTCCTATCTGTAATGCATGCGCATATCTTGCTAAAGAGATCCGGAGTTATGTTCACACACTGAAGGCACAAGAGTTTCTACAAAATACCTTAAAATACAGTCAGGTTTTCATTAAATTAGTAAGTTTCCTTTCTGGATAATACATTAAAAAGTAAACACAAAGTATTCAGCGTATCATTTGAAATTAATTGTTAGGGTCTATAAAAGGCATTTTCTCATTAGAAAGTTTATAGGTACATTGAGCTTTGGAATACATAAAAATGTGATACACAACTAAAAATTCAGTCATTTCACTCAGTTTGAACCACAAGAATAAACAGACACAGGAAAAAACAAAACTTCTAACAAGTTCCCTCAAAGATTACAAAAACCAGTGCATCTCAAAACATTACTGCTATTAAGTGACAAATGTATGCTGCCTTCAAACGGTAGTGCTATCAAAGTCACCTCCCATGGCAACATTACTGCTCTTTGAGGACATAAATTAATGCAGTATGTTTTCTAGTCGTGCAGCACTATCCCATTTTCTGATTACAGTAAGATGGTAAGCTGGAATTAGTTGAACAAAAGGCATTACTTCATTCAGTTTCAAAGACGATTAATCTAACAAGACAAAGTAAACTAGGTACAAGCAAATGCAGAGCAAAACCAAGGAAAGCAAAAGGATATTCACTGTGTAACTCTGTGGCTTTTCTACGAATTGGATTATCAGCGCCACTATGAGTTAAGATGTCGTTACAGACAGTATACTAACAAACTGGGCTTCTGCTTTTTCACCTTTCCATTTTGGTATGAAAGTACCTTCGGCATCAGCAGATGTGATACTGTAAGGCAGTCAGCTGTTTCAATTTCAAATGCTTTAATACTGTGATTAAGTGTGAACCATACATATTACTTACTGTTTAATATCCTTTGAAATAATGTCATTCTGGATTTGGACAGAAACATGTTCTCTGCACTCACGGCCAAATAACCCATCCACAGCCATGATTTTTTTTTTTTTTTTAATTCTAGATGCCAATTTAAGTCCTGTGTACTTACCAAGGTATCTGCACTAAATAAAAAGGCTATTCCCAACACCCCTCAAAAAAAAAAAAAAAAAAAAAAAAAAATCCAACAGTGCCAAAACCTTTAGTCAAACTGTTATGGCATCTATTATATTCACACTTCTAAGAAAATTTTCAAGATGTTGATGAAAAAGCTTGCTACTTTCAAAATATGATCTCACTTCAAAATATGATCTATTGGGTTTTCAGCTGGTTCTTCTAAACCCATTAGGCCTTTCAGCAGGAAGCTTTTGTTTTGACTGACTAAAAGCTGTTCCTGTGGTTACTAAGTGGATACCTGGGTCTGGCTCCAACACCAAAGACAGATATCCATTTACCAGTAGTTAATATCCAGTGTATTTAAAAGTGAAGGTACATATTCCACGATGCTCAAGGTATTCACACTTTTTGACAAAAAATACCTAAAATAAAGGTACATTAATGTAGTGAAGGGCAACTGCCCATTTCTTGATGGCATGGATATCAAGGCTTTTATTTAAGCAGTATTCAGGAAAGGAAATATTTTTTTTAATTTAATAACTGCAAACACTGCAATTTAATAACTGTAAATACATCTTTAGGTTCTGAAATTTAAGCAAAGCCTCTAGAAGATTAACTATAGCCTAAAACTTCACTGAAATGATGTGCATATTGTATACAGCAGTGAAGTAGGATTGCAGCTATGTGATTTTCAACAGAACTGACTGTTGATATGATTTGAGTTTCCTTTATGGTATCACAAATATAATAAAGCATTACTAGGTGAATGTTTACTAGCTAATATACATACATGGCATATACACACAGAGACATATGTCATCTCAAAATGTATTTGAAAATGTTCCAGATCTTTCATGTGATTTAACATAGCTATTTTGGTACTGCATAAAAATACTTTATCAGCTAGATACTAATGCCTACATATAAGCCCCAAGACTCATTCCCCTCTGCAAACGCAAACTCTAGTCTGCTTTTAAACTAAATTCTCTGCACTGATTCCCTTGATGTAGAGACCTCCTGTGAAACAATGCTACTGTCAGTAAGAACAGAAACCAGTCAATCGTAGCCAGAACTGAACATGCAAGATGGGATTTTTGCTTCTCTGCAGAACAGGTAGCTGAACTTACTGCTTATCAGAATGGAAATCTTCCCAGGAAGCCTGTGTTAAGTGAAGCAAATCCAGCAAGACTCAAAAGGTGAAGCGTGTTGATGCTTAGCAGCAAATTCTATAAAACTTACATGTCAGCTGGTCCCCACTAACAGCTTCAGCTCACGTATGCCATGGCCGTACTTTCCACAGCAGCTTTTGCTGACTCCTATTGAAGTGTCCTTTCAGATGCTGTTACGCCAACAAATAGTTGAGTTCAACATAAGCACAGGTATTTTCACCTTTCTTTTTTCTCCCAGCCTCTACACGTTCCAACATCCATTAAAAGAAACTACAGGAACTACTTTTATGAGACTATCTCAGAACTTTTGTTTTCATTCATGTTATAAAGGCTGTATTTCTGCATGCTTCAGCTAAAAAGTGAAAGGTAATTTATCATCTGCTTTCAATCTGGAAGCTAATGGAATCAGTTCTTCTGCTGAAGAAGGTTAACCAAGCTCTTCTATTCTATTACCCTCTTCCTATATAGGAAGTTTTTAAACCTTTTAATTTCAAGGGAACAAGGTGGCAAAATCATTTTACACAGAAAATTATGTTTTGTAAGCAGATTTACACTTTCAGCATCATCTGCTCTCTTATATGACCTATTACTTTAAACTAAGGGACTGAAATATTTCTTAAGACTGCAATTTCTGAAATTTGCAATAATCTCCTTGCATGCAAGTTGTTTTATTCCATGCCCATACAACATTTAGCCAGTTTTCCCAAAGCAAATCACAAACATATTCTAACTTAAGTCCAACTTCTCTCTTTTTTTTTTTTTTTAGTTAAAAGTAAAATTGCATTTAGCAGAACTTGTCTTTCAGTAAAACATAAAATCTAAAGTCATTTTCTAGGAATATTAACAACGTCCAAACAAATTTGAAAACTTGAACAACTTCACAGGTGAAGCAGACACAAAAGTCAAAATTGTAGTACAAAGTCATGCAAGAATTTGCGCCTGTGGAATTTGAGGTAAATTACAACAACACAGAAGAATTAACATATAAACTGATTATAATTAATGAAATTAAATTTAAGTTGAATGCTTTCAGTTATATACAAGAAATTTCCCTACTTCTTTTTAATACCACAATAAAAAGATAAACAGGAAGGAACAGAAAGGACCATCATAGTGCTAAAAATCAAAGTCTGATGCAATTCAAAGCAGGGACAAAGCAAGGAAATACGCTTTTATTATTAACTACACAGTGTCTCTAACTAAGACTGCTAGGGAAAAACCTTACTTAATTAAATGAGTAAAAAAGATGGGACCAAAGTCCCATCGCTGAAGCCTTGAGTGATACCTAGCTTCATCTGCCTTTCCCCCATCACTTGCCCTGAAAGATGGTAACAAATCCCATTCATGGTGCCATCTCCATAGAACTTT